GGGAACTTTTGACAAAGTTCAGTGACTATTTAAGGTATTAACTCTATCATATTAGAGTCAAACTCTAATTTCAACTGAATCAATATTTGACTTTAGGATAAACTCTTAAATAATATAAAGATTCGTGAATTCGAAATAAAATTTTAAATGGGTCAAAGCATTTTGATATCCAAATTTAGAAATTCTTTAATAATCAAATTCAAAACCGCTTTTGAAATTGCATTATAACCCTTATTTTAAAATTCTAATCATGCCCTTTCTTTCAAAATTGCAACTTGACCCCAAATTCAAATTGTAGGAAAGGAACCTCAATTTCAAAAATTGTACATCTAGCTCCCGTCCCCAATTTCATTCGAAAACCCTACAAAAAAAATTTCCATCTTGACGGCACCGAAAACGCTATGCACCTTGGTTCACCGATGATGCAATAACTTCATGCGCTGCCATGCCCAACAATGATGATGGGCACCATTAATGAATTGGTGCGACAGTTGCCACTGCTTCTACATGAGCCAGTGCGCTGCATGTGCGCTCTCTGGGGTGCAACAGCGCACTACTACGCCCAGCGAGAGCGCGATGGTGTGCCTCGTCGAGCACTGACAGCGACCATTGCTGCCAATCACTTTTCCCTGCATCTATCTTCCAATCCGATTTTCGATCCAAAAATCAATCTTCATTAAAAAATAGATTTTTAGAAGATGAAAATATAATTTTTAAATTACTAGATTCGAGAAAAACATTCAAGATGCAAAATAATCTCTAACAAGCACAAAGTAGGCGTTGATACCACTATTGGGAATTTGCTCAATATGCACAGCAAAATTTAGACAATATTTCAATTCCACTAAAGATCTGCTTTTTGTTTAGAAAAAACTGTGATAAAAATTATACATTTAGTTAATTCCACAAAGAACGGTCATAATCTGTAATTCACAATTGTTCAATTGTACAACCTCCAATGGAAATGTACACCGTGAATAAGAATAAGAGAATTATGATTTCTCATTTCTTATACTAACAAGATAATAATTGTGAGTTATTTATTTTCTCAACCCTAACAACATATTAATAGAAATCTAAGTGAGCTTGGCCCAACATTTGAACTTTACCCACTTCAATGTTTAATTAATTGAACTCGGTCCATTAATTAATCTAATTACCTAATTTGACACATTAATGAGTAATCCAATTAATTAATTAAATAAAAGTCCAACGCTTGTCAATAATTAATTAGTAATATCATTATTCTCGTTCACATTTTGTGTATGACTCGTTATGCTCTCGACCACGATACCTAATGACGTAAATTATTATTTTGATAAAATCAAAATAAGATAAATTAAAATATCCTTTTAATTTATTATTAATTCACCAAATTTAATAATAAGTCACATTCATTGTCCACATCTAGCAATGTGTTAGGGCAACACATGTGACTGAAAATATCACGTGGTATAACAAAATCAAACTTGTTCGTTTACCGTGAAACTATAATCTATTCATCAATATGATATGATCAATTACGAGATATCAAGTGTGTCAATCTCGATTATCGATCATATCTTTCATCCCACTATTAAGTCAATGTAAGTCGAAAATTCTTTTGACTTATGACTTCACATTGGCCAATAATTTAGCCATCAACTTAATTAAATGAAGTGTAGATCATAATATCTTACTACTTAAGAGTGATAAATTTTCTATTGACTGTTCACAACATTTATATGATTCTTGACATATTCAAAAGATGTCGTATTAACGATTCTTGACAAAACAATATCAAATATCACCAAAGTATGATTGTCCTCATATAAAAAACAATGATGACCTCAAGTCGTATGACCAATTTCACTATTTTACGTTAGAGATTAACCATTGATACTCAAATAGTTATTCATATGAAATCTCTTCAACGGGTCTCTAATATTTTATTATCTTGACAACATATCCATATGTTCATTTAAGTGTCACACACTTTATCTTGTGAGATCATTTATTTACTCCTCAAGTAAAAAATATCACACGTGATAGTTTGTTCATAATAACGATATCCGTATCTCATTATTACTTACGACAATGAATGATTTAAAATTCAGTCATAAGCAATTTTTATCTCACAATCATAGCTTCTCGTGATTAACAAATTGCTAAAGTTTAAATTTGCAAACTCTATTATTTAAATTAATAAAATAATAATTCAATTAAATAATAAATTTATCATAAATAAAATGCATTAATCATATTAAAAGTATTCACAACCTAAATCGATTGGACTTGAATCATAACACTTATATTACTTTAAGTAGTTATAAGACGTGGATTTTATGAAATATGAGAATATTGAGTGAAATTTATAAAAAGTGATATTTATTCAGTTTAAATTATAATTTAAGTTTCATCAAACATTCAGACTGTTTGTGACATGACACTACGAGTCTAGGCAGCAGATCTCATTACCTTGCACTTGTCGACATGCCTAATTGTCGTTAGATATAATTGTTACTTACTCATCACAATAGTAGTGTCCCGTGAAATATACCCTAAGGAGACATCCCTTTTAACTTTCTTCAACTTTGACTCTTTTCTATTTAGTAGTAGCAATGATCGACGTAATCTCAATATACATTAGATAATATGTTGTATCTCCATT